TCTGAGAAATTATTTCTGATTTCATTTTTTCCAGATCCCCTTTTGTTGCCAGTTCAGTGGGTCCAGGTGGTTGAATGTCAGAGTGTTCCATCTCATTTCCCTTTGGGGTTGCTGTAGGTGATCTGGAAGTCTGGTTGTGAGACTTGTTTACATATCTTCTCATTTCAGTGGGGTGGGTGTTGCTGCTGGTGCCCATGCGGCTCACCTACTCTGTGTTTTTGGGGGTGGTATGGTGGCCCGGAAGCCTCCTTTTGTGCACTGGGAGCAGCTCACCTCCTCCGTGCTTGCTAAGGCGCAGTATCTTAGAGAAGGTTCCCTCATGTCCTGGATCTTTTTGTTGTTGTTATTGCTGTTGTTGTTGCTGTTGTTGTTGTTGTTGTTGTTGACCTTGGAGGGCCAGGGCCAAAATATTGGCTGTCATCTTAGCCCAGATACCTTTTTAGTTCTGGTCTCTAAACTTTGGTTGTTGAACACCCAGAAGAGAAGATCAATTACATTAGCATTGTAAGAGGAGTAGTGAACTCAACTATTATAATTTTACCTGGATATTAAGCATTTTGAAATAAAAATATGGTTAAAAGACTGTTATTATTGCCAATCATGGTTGTTCTTGTGGTTGAATCCCTAAGTAGCTATCTTTTTATAGGATGTCATCTAAGGAAAATAAATCAGTCTATAAGTGTATTTATTATCATAGGTGGCTGGAACGTAAGAGAAAGGCAAATGTCTGAATCAAAAGATTATCACCATAAACAACATGTTGGAAGACCCATTTAATTAGAGGGCAAGAATACATTTTGTCCACCAGAAAAGGAGCAGTAATAAATATCACAATTATATAAAACCTTATGTTCTTCAATGTAGTTTGGTCCCAAAAGCATCTTTCTAATAACACTCTTTTGTCTATGCCACAGAAATTAATCTTTTGAAGATGACCAATGTAGACATACTTTTCGTCTGTGGTCCCATAATGCTCTGGTCATGACTGTAGCATGTCATGTAATGTGTCAATCTGTAATAAACCTGTGCATGTGTGTTGTTCCCCATCCAAACTGGGCATCCCTTGAAATAAGGAACTATGTTCTGCTTATCTTGAATCTCCTATTCTTAACACAGTAAAGTGTGTGTGTGTGTGTGTGTGTGTGTGTGTGTTTCAGAGAATGTGTCACTTAGGTCCTGGGCAGTTGGCTGGTAGGATGAACATACAGTCACAAGCAATGTGTGCACTAAAACATTCATAATTATGCACCTTGGTCCTTTTGCTTGCTGACTGAGTGATCATGGATGCCTCTCCCTTTCTAAAATTAACTTTTGTCATAGTTAAAGTGGGAATAACAATCTCCACTAGATGTACAGCTCTTGTGACAATTTAAATCAGTAGAAAAATATAATAAGGACTTGGGGGAAGTTGAGGGTAAGGAGGTAGATACACAGAGGATCCTGATACAGTGGTGAAGAACTTGGAATAGAACCCAGCTTTGCTACTTGTGCCCCTGGGCAAGTTGCTTGATATCTTAGTGCCTGAGTTTCCAGGCCCCTTTGATGATACCTTCCTGGAGGATTGTGTGATGATTACATGAGATCAGAAATGTCAAGTGCCTACCAGAGGGTTAGGCCAGAAGAAAATCTTGACGAAAAGAACTCCTGAGCCCTCCCAGGTTCCTGTCCTTTGTGCTCATCTAACGGTCCATTCCACTCATTGTCCAGAGCCAACCACTGACGTATGGACTCATATAGACATGTCATCCCAGAACTCTTTTGGGGTCACGCTATTGCTGAAAATCTAATTAATATTTGCCTGAACCCCAATGCGCATTCTAGGGAAGGCTTAGTATACTCCAAGTATAGATGCTTATTATATATTCTAGGGAAGGCTTTGAGATTTCTGTAAGCACCTGGGAATCGACTCCTCACAGCCATCTCCACTTCTAGTTTCCTGTCTTACTGAATTCTTGTTGTTAACTCTTCATCCTGGGCTAGATATTTTCTTTATCGCCTTTCTGATTTTGTCCTCAATGCAGTCCTTTCCTTGAGTTCCCAAATGCAAAAAAAAAACCACAATAAAAACATAAAATAAACTAAAAGCCTCTCACAATGGCACCAACACAAATCACTTGAGATTAGAGATTTGGTACCTGTTAGTGACCTTCAGCCCACAGTCCCCAGGAGCTCACTGTAGGTGCAAACAGCGGCGCTTGCAGGCCCGCTGCAATGATGGAGGATGCCCACCAGGGGGAGCCATGTGACACTATGGGGGTGTCAGCGGGAGCTGCTGGGAGGAACTTACTCTGGGATTTGGACTCACGTTGGAGGGTTGGTAGGGGTTCCCCGAAGTAAGATTCTGCTCTGGATTACATGCTGGCAGGAGATGCAAGTAATTCCATGATTGGGTATCTCAACAATTCTGGTGAGGCTAAGGAGTCAGCCATCACTCTTACAGCTGGGGTGGCAGAGCAGGGAGACAGCTGCTCAGGGTCCCTTTCTGTGTCTACTTTTGGATGTGATTGTGTAGTGGTCTGGTTTTTGGCTTGATCTGTCACAGCAATAGCATCAGCTTCTGTGTTGTTGTTTGTGATCTGCAGGACACACCATGGCCTCACTGTGCACATCAGGCCAGCTCTCAGCCTCCAGCGCCTTCAGCTCGCTTTCTCACATCCTTGTTCTCAGAAACTCTTTGGCCACGCTTCCTTGGCACTGGGGCTCCCCTCGTCTCCCCCCAGCCACACCCATGCTCCTCTCTTCTCCGCCCTCTGCCCCGGAGTCTCCCCACTGTCCAGTCAGCTCTCAGCAGCCCTGCTGCCCTCAGCCCCGGCTTCTCTGTGCACACTGAGGAACCAGGTTGTCCTCTCCAGAACTCACTGTCCTTGCAGTGTCTACAGCGACTTCACCACCCCTCCCTGACATGAGCTTCGTCTCCTGCTCCTGCCCTCCCCATTCCACAAGTGGTTTTCAGGTAGTTTGGGTTTTCAGTAGCAGTTTCTCCTACTCTTTAGAGTCATGTGTTGCTTAATGATGGAGACACTTCTGAGAACTTCACCGTTAGCTGGTTCTGTCATTGTGAAAACATCACAGAGTGTGTGTACTTACATAAATCTGGATGGGGCAGTCAGCCACTTGAGCTGGCCTTTTGATGTGATCAAGAGACTGAGTAAACAGGACATATAAGAGGATGCTGCTGGCTTTACAGATTATACTTCTTTCCAGTAAACCGGACTTTAAAAATATATAGAATACTCTAAAATAACAATAAAAATATAGCATAGGAAAAACATAAACAGGCAACATTGTCTGCCACTATCGTTATCATGTATTACAGGTCCAGCTTTGTGCACTATACTTTTATACAACTGGGGCAGCACAGTGGTTTGTATTCACCAGTGTCACCACAAACATGTGGGTAATGTGCTACTTGCAGCCTTACAATGGCTATGTTATCACTAGTAAGAGGAATTTTTCAGCCCCACTGTAATCTTAGGGGACCACCATCACATATGCGTTCTGTTGTGGACAGAACCCTGGTTACATGGTTCATGGCTGTAGATCCGATTGCTACAGCTATGGATATTCAGACTGTGGTGGTCAATTCACACAGCTCCAAGTTCAGCACTGGCAGGAGGGGTGGGGACAACATCCCACCCCTAGATATCCTCAGCTGTGGAAGGCAAAGACAGCAGCTGCCTCTGACCCAGCAAGTAAGCCTTCGCCAAACCTCCCCTTCTTCGCTCTCTGCTCTTTCTTCTCTCCAGATCTTCAGCGGCCTGAGCCAGGACTCTATAGAGGACATTTTCCTTACTGAGCTGAAGGTGAAGATCCAGGACTCCAAATTCCCCAAAGGTGAGCGCCTGCTGTCCTTTTCCCAAAGCTTACCTGGCTAAGCCTCCCTTGAAATTGTCCTCCCTCCTCTCACCCCAATGGTCTGCACCGGCTCTGTCCCGCACCTCTGCTGTCCCCGGCTCCTTCCAAGCTCCCCCAGACTGAAAGCCTCCTGGTCCACATGGGGTTCTGCCTCTCCATCCAGGCTGAGCTGCCGGGACAGCCTCTCGCTCCACTCCAGCCTGAGCGAGGGGGAGTCAGGGCAGAGGGCTGGGGAGCCCCTCAAGCCTCTCCTCCTCTTCCTTCAGAGGGATCTTCACCAAGAAGGAGAGGGGTCACTGAGAGCCCAGGTGCTGAGCTCTCCATCTGCTACCAGAAGGTCAGTGTGCATGGGCATGGCCAGGAGAAGGCCAAAGGTACAGCTGATAGAAGCTGGCCTGAGGGACCTGTGCAGGGATGGAGGGCACCACTGGAGCCAAATGAAGCTTCTTCCTCTTTCTGGAAGCTGCTGCCAAAGTTTCTCAGCCTTTGGAGGGTTTTGTAGGGATGGAGGTGGGGAGTCACTGTTGACCTTATGTGCAGGAAGGTGAAGTGATTTAAGGACCAAAAGGGCTGATGGCTCGCTAAAAACTATCTTCCTCCCTAGCTGGCCAGATGCCTGAACTGGTCTCTTTGGAGACTTGTTCCTTTGGGACTGGAAGGTAGCCATGCCCTCTGGGGCTAGAATATTCTTAAGCCTTCTCTGTAGGCCCCTCACTGGAAGCAGTGACACAGGCGAGGGTCTCGGGGCAGGGCAGAAAGTGGGACTGTGGATGTGAGATTCATGGGGAGAGCATGTCCTGAGGACCCCGTCTGCTCCTCCATCCCCCTTCCTAGGCTCTGCCCAGCCACCGGCCCCAAGAGGTCACCATTTCCCTGAGGGCCACAGGGTTGGTCCTGAAGGCCATTCCAGACAGTGACACTGAAGGTGAGGAGCTGGGAATTAGAGCAGAGAAAGAGAGAAGGGATCAGAAGGGGACACTGGGGAGAGGCAGGGAGGGCTGAGACCCAGCAGGGAGGCCCACCTCATCCCAGCCACCAGAGAATTCAGGCATGCAGGGGCCAAGCCTCATGCGGTCCTCACTGATGCATGTTCTCCAGCCTCAGATGGCTGTCAAGTAACCAGAACTCTAGCTCAGGACTCAGGACTCTGCCTCTGTGGCTGGAAGGTGGAGGGACATGGTGTGGTAGGGTCCTGGTCAGAATTAGGCCTGAGGAGGTAGGCACACTGTGTTTGGAAATTTTGGATTTTGACTGTCTTTCCCCAAAAATATCAACTCATGTGCATGTAGTAATTTATAAATATTAGCTGTCACTGTGAGATTGCTGGACTCCTGGACTAAAGAGAAAGATTGTCTGGGCATGGTGGCACATACCTATAATCCCAGCACTTGGTAGGCTGAGGCAGGAGGATTACAGTGAGTTTGAGGCCAGCCTGGACTACACGGTAAGACCCTATTTAAGGCAAGAGAAAGACAGGGAGAGAGAAAGAAGGAAGGCAGTGTGCTTTACTAACCATTGCTTGCATTTGGTTGGGGTTGGGCAATGCTCTATGTTAAATCTATGAACTCCTTGGAGCAAGTGAACCCCATGGAATAGCTATTATTAGCAGTAACATTTTACTGCAGAGGAAACTGAGGCAAAAAAAAATAGCTTCCCCAAGGTGACTGCTGTGAGGGAGAGTTGGGAGTGGGTGCTTTCACACTATGTTCCTCACCTCTGCCCCACACTGGATACCTAGAACTGCCAGCTCTCAACAGACTGGACTTCAGCGATCACCCCACAGAGGCTTGTAGATAATTTCTGAGCAAACAAGAAAGTTCACCGGGCAGAAATATGTATATCTTGTTCACCACTCCGTCCACAGTGCCTAGCACATAGATATTCAATAAACATTTGTTGAATAAATGAAGTGCTACTTTACACCAAAGCATTGTTTTTAAAACTAGGCAAATGAATTTGGAATATTCCTGAAGAAATAGAGTGGAAATATGCATTACAAGCTGGAATGCTTATGAAGAAGCTGACTCTAATCCCTCTTCTCCTATTCAACGCCCAGTAATGATTCTGTCTCTAAAATTCTCTGTGGCTTGGCTAGCATTCCTTGGGACCTCTGTCTGTTGGTAATGCATTTGTGCTCTTCGGTGTTTTTGTCTTCTATGAGACAGGGTCTCTCTGAGTTGTCTAGGCTGGCCTCAGTCTTTCGATGTTCCTGTCTCAGCCTCTCCAGTAGCCAAGGTCACAAGAATGCATCAGTGTGCCCAGCTGCATTTGTGTTCTTCTAAGGGCATTGTAGCTCCTCAATTATCTTGACATCTGGCACAAAGAAGAAACTCAAATAAAATCCCTTCCTTATAAAATTGCTTACAGATGAGTTGAATTTTTGGGTGACATATGTAACTCTCAAAGCAAGACATTCTTACTTGTAGTTCTTTAACATCATAAAGGAGACAAGTAATTTTGTTACTGGCTCATGACCTACGGACTGACTTATGACCTACAGATGGTCATAAAGCAGTGGGTCAAGCAGGGCCAGAGAGGCAGAATTTGAACCTCAGCTTTGCCACTTGCCTTCTGTGTGATGGTGGGCAAGTTAGCTGTGACCTCTCTACTTATTTTTAATTTCAAAAATAGAGATAATTATTTTGTGTGCATGTAGTAAATGATAAATATTAGCTAGTATGGTTAAAACTATATTCTTCCTACTTCCTGCATAAAACTCTCACCTCTCCTACTGCACCTTAAACCCCATCAGGACTGGTCTGGAGATGCCAGAACCCTCCTTAGAGGCACAAACACCTACCAACCCTCCAGTGAGCAGGGAGGCAAGGAAGGGATTTGGCCTGGTAGCAGTCACACAATCACGACTTTTGACAATTATGCCCTATTCAGAAAGTCGAAACACTCTCCACTTTGGTACTAACGCCTTCCTAATCACTGGCGAATCTACCTACAGGACACTGGGGCTAGGTGGTCCTTATGCTCTTAGCATACCCAGTAGCAGCAGAGAAATTCAACAGAACTTTCCTCTTTTAAAAGGGGGCTGCAGGGTGGGGGATGAAGAAAGGGTAGGGCATAGGGATTGGGGATAGTGATGGCTGCTGGATCTGAGATACTGAAACTTTGTTCATTTTCCAGGGAAGGGAGATGGATGGTGACGGAGGCCCTGAAACGTGGCTAGACCAAGGCAGCATCAGGAAGTGGGGCTAGGCAGAGTGTAGGGGGCTAAATTGGAGGGGTGGCAGGCAGGATGGGTTCGTGGCAGTCTTCTTAGACTCTCCTACTTCCCTGGAGAGCCATTCATAGCCCCCTGTCTCATTCACTTGCAGGATCCCCCCGTTTCCCCCCAGCTGCTGCTCCTGTGATGGCTCACACGTGTCTGAATGTCAGCGTGACCAAGCTTGAGAAGTCCTCCAACCTGGCAGGAAGGTCCTTCTCTGTAAGTCCTGAGTGGGGACGGGGAAGGAGGACAGTCAAACAGGATCCAGGAGGGGGCGGGAGCCCCAGGGCAGGGTATTCAAAGAAGCGGAACTGGCCTCTGAGCTTTCTACTGTAGTGGGGCCTCCCATCAGAAAGAATTTGCTTTCCCATCAGTGCGCTTAAAATACTGAGTACCACCTGGTACAAGTCAGGCACACAAAGGCGAGGGGCCCTGTCCACCTGCTGCTGAGGAACTGAGACATCCCCAGATAACCACAAAATGCACCCATGTCAGTCATCCCCAGGCTCTTCACAGTGGTCAGACTCTCACACGACACAGGCCAGGCTCAGATCAGATTGTTCAAGTTCACCGTCCCCATGGCTGCCCCTTCCCCTTGGCTTTGCCTTGATTCCTACTTCCTGATCAAGACATTTTCTCCCTACCTGCAGGCTCTCTGGACTTCACTCTTCTCAGCTTGACCTTAGAGACCTCTGATTATTTCTGAACTGTTCTTGCTGACATCTTCGACTCCCGTCCACCACTCACTAAGCAGACACCAGATCAAGCCACCTGGGAGGCTGTATGCCTAGGTGGCTGAGAGCTTTTGGGAGAAATCCTACAACCACCTTCACTAAGCACCAGCAACCTCGTGGCCTCTCAGTGCACACAGACCCCTGCTGTCCTTCAACCCCTTTCTCACGGTCTCTCAGGCTCTTCTCATTTGTCTGCAATTCTCTTTTTCATGGCTTTGACCTCACCCTCTACTGCTCCCTGTTAGCTTACCAGCATGCTCCAGTCTTCTCTGTCCTAAAAAAACAAAAACAAAAACAATAGTCTCATGTCTTGATCAGGAAGTATCAAAAAAACAAAGCAACTCTACTGTGACCCCTTTACCTCTCTACCTACCTGCTGTATCTCCTTCCTTCCCTTCTCAGTCAAGCTTCTCAAAGACACCTCCAGAAGTTTCCAGTCCCTTACCAGTGACTCTCCTGCCTGAGACCATCTGCTTTCAGTGACCCCCCCACACACACACACTGTGACAGAGTTGCCTCCATGTTGCCAAGACCAAGGGTCACTTTTTAGTCCATTTCTTTGACCCCTTTTCAAGATAATATTTGAAGCTATAAACAAAAGTTCCAATTTTTATTTGGGGAAATACAAAGAAGTAAGTTCATTAGTAATGCCAGTACTGGTCAGGATGCCTATTAACATTTTCAGATATAAAACCCAGCCTTTTTTCCTATATATTTTTACATAATTGATAACTACAGTGTGTGAAAGTATGTAGTGGTGTTTTTACTCAAAAACATACTCAATCCCCGGTACCAAAAAAAAAAAAAATAGACTAATATCTTGTCTGTATGTACTGGTGGGACCTTGTTTGTATCATTAAATATAGCTCATTAATTGTGTGTGTGTGTGTGTGTGTGTGGTACCCGGGATCAAACTCAGGAACTTGCACTTGGGTGGCACATGGTGGCACCACTGCGCTAAATCCTCAGCCCAACACTATTAACTTTTTTTCTTCATTAACTTTATTGGTACATTTTAGGTATACAATATAGTTACATTCATCATTGGGAACGAAAAGAATCATACCACAGTGATATATGCACACCTATGTTTATAGCGGCACAGTTTGTAATAGGTAAAGCTTGGAAACAATCCAATTGCCCATCAACTAGAGACTGGATAAAGAAGATGTAGTTTTTTTTTTATTAAATGGAGTACTACTCAGTCATAAAGAATGAGAAACTAGAGACATTTATAGCTAAATGGATACACATTGAGGCCATACTCTTAAGTGAAATAAATAGGACACACGTGTAAATACCAAATAGTTTCTCTGGTGTGAGAAACTAAAAGTGTAAATAAGGATCAAAATGTATAATTGATAATGTGAAATAGGAAGAAAATGTCTATAGGGGTAGGGGAAATGGGAGGGGTAGGGGAAAGGAAAGAAGGGAAAGGAAAAAATGGAAACAAAGTCTTTGTAAATAGGGAATGGTGGAAGGGCTGAAGGGAGGGCAAGGGATTGGGGGAAAATGAAATATTTATTGTATGATGGATCCATGTGCCTTATAATTATTTAAATGATTTATTATGGGACATGTGAGTGTGTGCTTCTTTTTCACTATTGTAAGCACACTGAAAAGGGTTAAATATGTGTTAAAAATCATGGTTTTACTTTTTTAAAAAAAGAACTTTAATCACTCAGAACTTTAATCACTCAGATGCATCCATATAGCATCAAGACTTTTAATATATTTTGCCAAATTGCCTTTTCAAATTCTGTCCTCATTGTGGTGTGCAGCACAAATGATACATTAATTGATTTTTTTTAATTTTAGAAAAGTGCTTTAGAAAACCTTTTTCAGAAAATCATATTCCTTATTTTTCCCATTAACTTCATACAATCCTGATTTGTTCATGCCACGATATGTGTTTATATTTTCAAGTAATGATTACACTATTTGTACACAATCAACTTCACAATATCAATATATTTCTATATTTGAGATTACTTTTGGGGTTACTGTTCTTCATCTGGATCTCGAGACCATTTCCAGGAATTCAACGAACATTGCGTTTGCATTGAATAGGCAGTGGCAACAGCATCTCTAAATCCCTGAGGTGTGATTTGAAACAGTACTGTGCATTCTTTCTGGCTTGGTGATTTGTACAATGTTGCCAACCTTTGTTTTTGGTCCCAGTGAAAAATTAGCCTAATTGTAGCAGCATGACCCCAACTCTCCCCTAAAGCAGGAACCAGCAAAGCCTGATTTTTATCAATCTTTGTTGTCATTTGGTTGGTTAAAATTTCAGCTAATCTGTGATGATTTGCAAGGCTGATCATTTGCTGTGCTAGGCCATTTAGTAATTGAGTACAGAGGCATAGGTCATCAAAGTCATGACGAAAAGGAAAAACAATGCCATCTACTATCACTAATCGAACCTTTGAGTGAACTGAAAGGAAATTAGGAAGGAGATAAACTTGTGCCAGTAGCTCTGTGTAATCATACAACGAAAATAATAAATATGGGAAAGAATATTTTCAAGAGTGAAATCCTCCAAAGCTTTTTGGTGTTCTTCTTCCATGTGTTTTCCTGCTATAAGCTGAAGGTGTTGAATGTAGGCAGTAGCGAGTACCACTCTCTCAACCATAAAACTTCCCTCTGTATCAATGAAAACAGCTTCACCTGCCACTCCTCCAAAACATTCTGGTATCTGCACATCTAATTCCAATTGCACTCATAATTGTTTTTCCAACACCTGGTGCACCACATATTTCTGTTGTTTTCATTAAAGGTACGCCACCCCCAAGAATATTATCTAGTGCTGAACAGAAGGTAACTATGAAGCCTTGGGTATGGTCCTGTTCAAGAAGGACCAGGGCTGTACACTTCCTGTATGAAGTATCAGATGTACTATCATTTCTTGGTTTATTTATGAGACATTCTCTTCTTACAATTTTCAGAGTTTCTAAGGCTTCCTCTTTAGATATCCCACCTTCTTTGCTGAGTTCGGAGGGTTTCACCTCTAGGACTTCCTCAGCACTCTGGAAACCTGCTGACACCAGCTTCACCCAGCCCACACCGCTGGAGACAGCGAGAAACTCACTAAGTCCCTCTGCATTTCAAACCCCTCGCCTGTGTTTGCAGTTGTGCAGACCCAAAGCCATTAAACCCGGCAGGTCCTAATTGATTTTTTTGTAATTTCAATTGTCAAATTTTTCATTATTTTAATTTCCATTGCTGCCATTACCAATTAGTGATGCGGAATGATTTCTGTTTCTTCCTTTATGTATTTTCTATTTATTTTCTCATCCCCTGGTACTACTGTGCTGTCCCTGTTTTGTAATATGAGGACATCAACCCTTTATTTGTCATATATTCTGGAAATGTTTTTCCTAGTTTGTCTTAAAATTTTTTCACCTAAAACAGCTTTGTATTTTGATGTAGCAAAATTTACCAATCATTTTCTTTTAATGATTTCTACCTTTGATAGGATTATACATTACCTATGTCTGAAAACTGTATCTCATTGCAATTAAAACACACCATAAATTTGCATTAGGAAAGAAACAATGCTGCTTGAACATGAGTAATGCTTTCTTATCACACTGGTTGCAAGATACTTCCTAATTTTACAAATATTACAATATGGGGAGGGATGTGTTTTAGAATTGAGAAAAGCAGCATGACTGACAACTTCCTAGTGGTTTTATTCCTTATTTTATTTCTTTATACATTTTTAGAGTCTGATTTACATGATTACATTATCTGGAACTATTAAGAGTCTAATTTTTCTGTGTTTTGGGTTCTCTGGCCCCCACAGTAATGTGACCCCTTGTATGTTTCCTCAATTATGAGATCTATTTTGGGGTCTTTGTGGGAAACCTGGGTATAGAAATCATCCTTCTAGAGAATTCAGTATTTGCTCTCACCAAGTGCCCTAGTGATGTCATATGTTTATTTTCAAAAGACAGAGATGGAGTAAATGTGTACCCCAAACCCACATCAGCACAGGCTTGGAGTTGGTAATTTTCAGGAAAGACCTTTCATCTTCACTCATGGCACAAGCGGAAGCAGACAGCTTCCTGGTGGTCTCCTCTTTCTGCTAGGTGACTTTTTTCTAACCTAGTCTTTCACTGAGAAGGTAGCTGTCAAGAGACCTTGAAGGGAATCTCAGTTTCAAATCCCTGCTTCCTGTGGGCCCAAGGCTTTGTCTCCCACCCTCCATGGCTGATCCGCCTGAAGCCTCTGATTCCTGAGGTTGGCACACAACCCTGGGACAGTCAGAGCATCTGCCTTACATAGCTCTGTCTTCTTGGGAATTTATTGATATTTTCTTTGTTGCCTGGTACATGATGAACTTTTTAATATCCCATGGCAACAAAAAAAACTTGTGTTTTCTATGTATAGAAGGCAAAGTATGATGTTTATTAAATCAAACACATGGTAGTATTATAATCTAAACATTTAAAAAAATCTTTTGTCCATTTCATCTTTCCAAAA